TATCTGAAATTTAGGAGTTTTCCACATTCATGATTCCTGTTTTGGCCTCTTGCCCTCTCCTTCCATCATTTGTCCAGGAAGAAAGTAACATTAGAAATATACAAATGGGAAAATACATATTCAAGGTCCTCAGTGAGAAGCCTCATGTGCTGTGCACCAGTGTGCTGGAAGAAAATCCCTAGATGGGCTATGGAGTGCTCTATCAAGATGTGTAGTCAGTTTTATCTCCCTACCTCCCCCTGCACTAAATCCAGCCTAGAGTGGCTCTCACCTCATGGTGGCTGAGGAGAAAATATTAAATAATCTGCTCCCTTCTGTTTCTGCTGTTTGTCACAGATCTCCTTGAACCAGGCTGTGCTGCAGCAGTGCCCGCACGGTTCCCACTGCAGGATGCTCCAAGTGGCACGGGGTGAGGACTGAGGCAGCACTGCTATTCCAGGTGGCTTCCAGGTTGTGCCAAGCCAGTGGGAAGGGCACAAGTCATGACAGCAGGAGGATATTTGGGTATTCCTGCCTGCTGCTGGAGCCCATAGTGTGAAGCACAGCCATCCCCTGGGGCTGTGTTACCTCACTGTGGCCATTGCACCCTGCTGCCCATCCACATCCAGCTGTGTGAGGAGCTGCTGTCCAGCTCTGCCCCAGAGCCAGGGCCAGCCCATGGCCAGCCCACCTCCCCACTCTTCTCCTGGCAGCCCCGATTCTGCCCTCAGCCCCCAACGCTGTCGTTGCAGCAGCACTTCCTAATCATGCTGTGCCTCGCTGCAGGGATGAAGATGAGATATATGATGATGTTGAGCCCGTTGGGCCGGCCAGGAGAAGCCCAGGCCTTCTGCTGCCTTCTGTGTCCCAGCTGCCAGTGTATCCCCGCCCCAGAGGAGGTGAGTACAGGAGGGGCTTAGATGCTGTTTGGGGTGAGACCTGCAGCTCTGAGAACTGCAAGGCCTCAGTGAGCCATGGGCAGCAGCAGCGCCTGTGCTAAGTCTGCTGCTCCCCCACACAGGAGGGCAGTGGGCTCCTCTTGTAAAAGGGCACAGGAAACCCTGCTCCCCCCACACTTGGGGGCAAACTCAGGATTCAGTCCCAAGAGGAGAAAGCTCTTGCTGCTCTTTGTATTCTGTTTTGGCAGGTGTTTACACCTCATGGCAGCCTCACGGCAGCACCTCTCCCGGGGTTTGGTTTTACAGGTGGAAATGCTGACCTAGCCTCGAACAGGGTTACCTTGCTGGCAGCTACACAGAGGTAATGGGGTTCTTTTGCTCTTTCTAAGGGACCCAAAATGGCTAGGGCTCCCTGCTGCTCTGACAAAGGTGCTGCTTTAATGGTCTCTGCTGGACTTGCAATAGGAAGATCTGTGGTGAAAAGCACAGGCTGCAGGCTGTACATCTGGCCCCGAGAGCCCCCACAGCCCCAGAGCTGGAAATGCGATGGGGAGCAGCCAGCAGGGAGAAGGGGACAGGAGGGAGTAGAGCATGCGGTCAACTGAACCTTCCCATGGCTTTCAATGACTGCAGAGAATCCCAGATCTCCCACAAGATGAACACCATGACACTCAAGGCATGCAAGAAGGAGGACAAGATGGACAGAGAGTTTCAGAAGAAATTCAAGGTGAGCAGCAGCGAGTGATCGCTTTTCCCTCTGAGCTCCTTCCCCCCTCCTGGGAAGGGTGCAGTGCAATGGCAGAAAGGAGCTGTGCTCCACAGGGACCCGTGATACCTAGATCACACCCTACCTTGTTCCCCGAGGTCACACCTGCCTCCTTCCCCCAGGTCAGAGCGGTCCCACAGACCGTTTGGCCAAAGAGGAATCTGCTTTTCTTCAAAGAGGGAGAGCAGTCAGACCTGCCTGACTCAACTCCCCATGGGCACTGCTCTTTTTGTTTCAGTTCGAAGGCAGCATCAATGTCCTCACTCGGATGATGGTCGATCCTGCAGCAACAGAGAAGAGGGGTGGAGCGAAGAACCTGCCACTGAGACGGGGAGAAATCCTTGATGTCATTCAGTTTACAAATCAGGAGCAAATCCTGTGCCGGAACAGCCAGAGGAGGTGTAAGTCTGGAGGGGAATGGGGTTTGCCCACAGCAGGGAGCACAGCACAGTTTTGGGCAGAAGCTTCTTCATGCAAACACCCCATGACACCTCCTGACCGACCTCCTCCACGTGTTAGACAGATCTGACAGGTACCCTGATACCTGAGGAGGTTCCCACTTTTCTCTGCACTAATGTTCTGCTCTTCCTTCCACTCAGCAGCAGCATTTCTGCTGTGAGTTGGGCTTGTCCTTTCCCTCTGCTAAAAGCTTTTGCTGTTCTCGAAGCCTCCAGGTGGAATGGGCTGGGATCAGGCTCTTTCCTGCCAGCTGCCATTCAGCCTGGCAGATCAGGCTCCTTCCTGACACTGCCCAGAGCGGGTTCCTCTGAACAGTCCAGCTCAGCTGCCCAGAGCTGGATTCCTTGTTGTCTCAGCTCTTTCTGGGAACATGAGGTGTTGCTAAGCCCTGGGCAGGGGCAGGGGTTGGGGTGATTCCTACTCATGCCCTGGTTCCCAGCACAACCTGATATGTTTTTCTTCACTCTGTTGCAGATGGCTACGTGCCCAGGGCTGTGATGCTGCCTCTGTGAGTACCCTTTCCCAGCCCCTTCATTTCCACTCCATGAGCTGCAATAACTGCTCCATGAGTGGCCAGTACCAACCTAGTCCTGGCTGACAAAACTACCTAGCTCAGGCTGTGATCATAAGCCTAACACTGACCATAAGCTTAACACCAGCTGGTTCCCCTGGGATCGAATCTGCCATTTCTGGTGTCAGGAGAGATTCTGTTACTGGAGCACTGGAGGCACTCGCCAGGCTGTGGTACTTCATGAGGAACCTGCCCAGACACTGCTCAGAGGCTGCTGCTGGCACAGGATGAGTGTGCAGCCCCTCTGCATGGCTGGGTCTGTAGCTCCTGCCAGCCTGGGATGAGATCACCATCCTGAGAGGGGCCAGAGTCATCTCGACCCCACTCCAGATGGTCCCAGCCAAGCAGGGAGAGCACAGCTGGGAGGGGGAATCAGGGCAGGTGGACACCAGAGTCCACAGACAAGTCAGGAGGAGATGGGACAGATACAGCAGCAGGAGCTGGCCCTTGCCTCGGGGTTGGGAGGTGGTGGGACATGGGAGTCCATGCTGCCCACAGAACCCCATCTTTGTCTTTGCAGGGACGCTGACATCTATGATGACGTTGAGATTAATGGTAGGTGCACACAACTGCTGCCACAGAACCCTTCACTGGGCCACAGTGACCACCACACCAGCACCAGGATTCCCCTCCTCCTGACCCTTCGCTGTTTTGCTGCCTTCCCTCTCTCTCTTCCCCCTGTGCAATTCCTCTCCCTGAGGTGTCCTTTGCTTACTCACAGTTCCCTAAAAGTCTTCATGTTCCTCTCTTCCAAATTATTTGGACTTCTCTACACCCTGTTCTCAGCTTACTGCCTCCACTTGCTGCCAGCCCCAGGGCTTCTTCAATGTCCTTTGAGGTGATCCCCCAGACAACTCAGACTTCCCTTTCCCAAGCAGTTGCTCTCTCCTGACATGCAAACTCCATCCCTGGCTGGCAGTTGGCTCTGAAGATGGAGCTGAATAGAGACAGCTGTGTTTCAGTTCTGCTTACAAGCACACACTGTTATCTAATTCTGGCAGGCTGAGCCAACCACAGTAAGGCCAAAGGCACAAGACAGCACCACAGAGACCTTCCCAAGGGCTGGAACAGGAACAGCACCAGACACCAGGCTCCTTTTATGAAGGAGCTCTGCTTCCTCTGAGACAGACTGCAAACCCACCGTGTCCCTGCCAGAACAGTGGCGTGGCTGCTCAGCATGTGGGGCTGCACAGATCCTGCCCCACAGCGCAAGGGGCCTCATCTCTTCAAATCACACATTCACTGTAGCTCTGTTTTGTCTGTGTAAAATATACAATGGTTCAAGAGGGTTTCATGGCTCTTTTTTTTTTTTGAGTGGGGAGAGGGGTGAAATCAGACCCATAAAGGTTTTCACTATTTTCCCATTCCCAGAGCAGCATCTGCAGCCTGGGACTCACCTGCCCTTTCATTCTGCACCACACTCTGGCCCCAGTGACACTCCTGGCCTGAACCAGAGGCAAACTATAACGTTCAATGGGGTGTGGTTGGAGACAGAGACACGACCCTCTTGAGATTCATGTGACAAAAGCTTTTTTTATTGTTCTGAACCCTCCTTAAATAGAAGGTTTAAATTTCCCAGCTCATGACGGTTGGTTGGGAGTTTGCACTGCCCATTTCCCTGGCCAATGGTACATTTGCACTTAGGGTTCAATGACTTGGCTGGGATCCTTTGTATGTGTTCAAATCTATCCTATCAAAGCTCACCTAGGGACCTGTTTACTTCTAGGCTGGTTGAGTTCAGGCCCACAGCTTTAGGCTAGCTGCAATATGACAGCAAACTGGAAACAGAGAAACATACAGAGAAATACTCTAAAATATCATGAATTATGGACCAGGTGCTCCAGCAGCACTCCATGGCCTTGGGGCAGCTTCCCTGGAGAGCTGGCAGGAGGTCAGATCTATTGGGGCAGATATTTGTGTGGGAATATTCAGCATCATCTGTTGGTGATGTTGGGATGATGTCTGCAGATGCTATGGGAAATTCTCATTCACTGGGACAGTTTCCCTTTGCAGACCCTGCCTTTATGAAGCCCTCACACATGGGAGCAGGATCAGGGTGCACTCACAGCCAGTGGGGAGCACAAATCTAGTGCAGGACCCAGATCTGGTGGCAGAACCCAAATCCTTTTGGATCAGGAAGAAGTTCTGAGTCCCTCCTCTCAGTCTGCACACTGGCCCCCATCCCAGGGGCTGGAGGGTTAAACTGGGAGGGTTCAGCACCTCACGGCAGGATGCCAAGCCCAGATTAACCAGTTGAAGACGTCACTTTCCATTATGGGAAAGGCTCCCAAATATCCCTGAAGCTTTTGGTTCTGGGGATTAGCCACCAGCGCACTCAGCTCCTGGCACAGAGCAGGGGTCCATCGGTGCCGAGGGGCCCGTGGCCATGAGTGGGGCTGGGAGCTGCTCCCAGGGGCATCAGCTGGGTGTCTGAGGACAACCATGTGGGAGTGGGTCAGAAGAGCTGTGTTGCACTCGCTGTGCACGGCCCTCCTGCGCCTCTGGAAGTGGGTACGGGCGTTCTGGTACAAAAATGGCCTCTTGACTCTCTCCATGCTCTCTGTTGTCACTGGATGCCTCCTGGGGTTCCTGCTGCGGACACTGGAGCTGACAGACCTGGTAAGCCTGGCTGGGATGGTGATGGGAGTGAGGGGGATGGAGTGGGGCAGGGGGCAAGCCCTGGTGCCAGTAAGGGTCCCAGATGGGCACAGCCCCAAAAGCAAAGGCTCCAGCCCAAGAAAACTACCTCAAGGCAGGTTTCTGCCCATGGCTTTTGTCTTTGTCTTTTTGTCTTTTTGTCTTTGTTTTTTGTTTTTGTCTTTGTCTTTTTTCTTTTCACCAAGAAGGTGCCAACAAATGCCCAAGCTATGGGACAAATCCTGCCTCCCTCCAATGAGAGTGGGGAGCTCTGGGTTGGATCCCGTGGGGCTGCAGGAGCCTCGAGGTGGGATGAGGATTGGAAAGGGGGGAATGTTTACTCAGGGGCTAAGATGCTCAGTAAACAGGCTCCCCCCAACACCACCAGCAGCATTGGGCTCTGAGAGATGGGGCCCAGGAGATGGGGTCCAGGACATGGGGTTCAAGGGATGGAGTCCTCCTATTACTCTCCCCAGCTATGTGCAATCAAAGCACATTTCCATGCTATGGAAAGGACCCAGCAAATAAATAGAGGACAGGTGGGGAGCCTAAGGGCTTCAAGGAGTCACCTTCCTGTGAGGAGCCTTGGTGACAAATTGGAGAAAACACACGAGAAAGGCACTGAGAGTTGGCTCAGCACTCTCCAGGAGCATCACACTGTGAAACAGCACCAAGCTGAGATCCTCTGACTTGGGGCAGCTGGGCCACAGCTCAGCCCTGATCCTCAGCCAGGCTGCTGAGCCCAGGAGGGGGAATGCTGCTCCAGGAGAGCTCAGCTGATGCTGGAACATCCCTGTGTTGCCCACTAGGATTTAGCAAAGTCTTGTCATTTCAATTAGGCCTTTCAGCATCAACGCAGCAGGGATGATCTCATTACTTAATTGAAGCTGGGTGTAATCTCCCTGCATCCCAGTGCACACACCCGTGAGAGCCCAGCAGCCACCCATGCTGGGCATGAGGCTGGCAAAATCTTGGGGCTCCAGACCCCTTCCTGCCATGCATCAAGTTTATTTTCTATCCTCTGCTCCAGCCCCCTCCTGCCCTGTTGCCACAGCTCTGCTGTGGGCCTGGCAGCCACTAGAGACTGTCCCCACTAGAGACTTTTGTCACAAAATCTGGAGGAGAGCTGGAGAGATGGCTGATTCCCGCTTTCCTCCCTGCAATGGGAAAGTGTCACAAAACTGAGACACTCACTGGCAAAGAGATGCTGTTCAGATCTGACATTACCCCTTGCACCCAGCTGGGCCCATCACAGCTCTGGTCTGCCTGAGCTCTCTGGGGACATCAGCCATGGTCAGGCCAGACACTGGGACAATGCAGGGACAGCACAGGGCAGTGACTGAACAGCTGCCTTGGTACCCCTCAAAGCCCCAGCATGGGATGGTGGCTACTTTAGAGTAACCAAAAGTACCTTCTTGTTTTGGGGCCAACTCAGATTCCTCCCTGACACTTCTACAGTGGCACAGTGAAATAGGGGGATCAGGGTTGGATGCATGGATGCATAGATGGGGGATGGAGGGATGGATGGGGGGTAGAGATAAGGATGGAGGGAAGGAGGGATGTTAGCCAGGCTGCTGGTCCCACAGACCCGTCACTCTCACCTTGGTCATGGCTGTGGGATCCAGATTTTGGGGGATGTCTCTTCAGCCCTTTCCCATGTCCATGTGAGGGGGGAAGGAGGTGCAGAGATGTCATGGCACCAAGATTATCCCATGGATGGGCCAGACACCTGGGCTCTTCCTGAGCTCATCTTTTAATCTGAGATATTCCCACCTTTTGTTGCTGCCAAGAGCTTTGGGGCACTTTTGCCCCAAAGCAGATGCAGCCAAGCCTCTGCTCCTTGATAATGAGTGCCATGACTTTTGGGAGGAGCCAGTGATGGGGCTATGTGCACCATTCCCTAGAAGGCTACAGAACCAAGGATGTTTTTGGGAGGGGACCAACCCCATGTGCCCCTCCCTTGTTTACAGCCAGGTTTGCCATGTGGCCAGTATTCCCCATCCCTGAGCCAACTCCCAGTAAGGGACAGCAGAGAAATGGTATCATGGAGTCCCTCAAGGAGCAGCTGCAAGCTCAGAGCTGGGTCTGGCTGGGAAAAAGGCAGATTGATCAAGTCTGAGCCCTTAACACATAATCATTTACCTGACACACACTCTGCTCTATGTGCAGGAGAAGCAGTATTTTTCCTTTCCTGGAGAGCTCCTCATGAGGATGCTGAAGATGCTGATCCTGCCCTTGATCACCTCCAGGTAAGATATCATCTTCTGCTCTAAAGCACCATCTTTCCCTCATGTTGAAAAGATCACCCTGTGAGCCCTGTTGAGGAGACACCCCAAAACTGCATGGGGTGAGAATAACCCTGGCTCCAAGCAGCTGGCAGTCAAGCAGCATCCCCTGGCTTGGTGTCCATCAAACCCCATGATTTCCCAGCAATAGTCTGGGACAAATCCTCACCTGGATTTGGTAGGCACTTGCACCCCGGTCAGACACCTGCACTGGTTGGGGTTTTTCCCTTCTTTTGGGCAGCTGGTGAAGCCAGGACCTCTGTGGGCAGTTGTGATGGGCTGTTGAATCTCAAAGCAGATTCCCTTAGAGGGATTTGAGAAAGTTCAGGTAAAAAACATAAGCATTCCGCAGTGCTGTGTCTCTGTTTGCAAATCCCCATTTTGTTGGCCCATAGAGATCTAGAAATAAGGAACAGGGCCAGCAGTCCTACTGGAGTGTAAACAAGGTCTTGAAAACCTTATATGGATTAACATGTTGCAAACAATAAGTTGGCATGTGCTCATTAGACACACACACATGATCAAGTCCTTATTCCCTCAAGGATGTGTCATTTCTCTATTGTTTGTCAGAGTTTGCTTGTTGTCCCATTGCCTCTGGTTCATTTTTGAGAGCAGTGTGGTCTCTATCCTGGCCACACTTGACCTGTTCAGTACCAGCCCTTGCCGAGAGGTCTGTATGTCACATCCGTCCCTGAGGTGTCTGAGGGTTTCCCTTCACTCCCAGACCTCTCTGCAGCTCAGTTGCTGAGTGGTCTCCTCTGATCACTCTCCTGTCTGTGAGTGCAAGGTCTGCAGAGGCCTCCTGGCAGTTTTCTTTCATGTTGGATAGAACCAGGGATTTTTCTGTGATTACTGAATGATGGTGAAGAGCTGTCTACACACCATCCCAGAGGGGACTGGGTGTGCTCTGGGGATGGAGCTCTGGAGATCCTCAAGCCCCAGTCCTGCACTCAATTTGTCTCCACCACCAGCACTGTTCTCCCTGCTGGGGCAGCCTGTAATGCCCTCTCTATTTTTAGCCCAGTTTTGCTGAGAAGTAGCTTATGGGTTACTTCCTAGGAAAGCTTAGTGTGCATGAAATCTGAACCTGCAGGTCTCTCCTGGGTGCATGGGGTCCATCCCCACCAGGACTTTTTGAACCTTGCTGGTACCTTCCTTTGCTCCTCACGAGGCGATGGAGACACAAGAGAACAGGATCTCACAGAAAGGAGCAGCATCATTAAGAGTATAAACACACTAAGAGTATAAACTTAAAACCTTTATAGAAAACAGAAAATACAGCCAGACCTTGAGAGGCTTGGAGGTGCCTCCTGCTCTTCAAAACTCAGCTTGGGCTGT